GATGAAGAATCCCTCTCTAGAGTGGCATAAAATGATAAATATCAATTCATAACTTCAAGAGAAGAGTTTGGATCTAAATCCAACTATAGAGGAAAGAAAACTTAGAGAAAAAATATGTTTTTACAAGTATTTATATCAGGGAAACAAAGGGAACTCGGGTCAACCCTAAATATTTTGGTCAACATTCTGTCTGTGCACACGATATCGGTCACCGGCATCGGTTTTTGCCGATATCTTCAGCTTCCAGTGAGTCTTCATTCTTGTTTGCTTCATTCTTCGCGGCAGATTTGATATGCGCCCAGTAAATCGATCATAACTTCCGAAATATAGCTCCAAATGAGTTGAAACTACCTCCATTGGAAAGCTAACTCAATTTTATTTCAGCTCACCAATTTTCAAATTAAACAGGACGGTTAAACGTCTTCAACCGATCTAATCTTTAAGGTGCTCTGGACTGATTCCGCGAGTCCGCGGTTTAGGTTTGGGATATTGGTTACCACTGATAAGGAACAATAATATCTTCCTCTTAAGCTCTTTGTCCACTCCTTTTCTCCCTTTTTGCACCATAGATCCATCATTAATTTTTTCCAAGCTCATGTAATTCCAAAAGACTCCAAAACACCTAAAAATAAGAGAAAACAATGCAAAATGCACAAAGTCCTAATCCTAAACTCTAAAATGCAAATCTAAGCTAAATTATGCTAACATGAACATATAGATGCGATTATGATGCAAAATATAAGATAATTAGATGCAAATATAAGCATATAAAGCGGTAAAATATGGGTTTATCAATAACTTCACAAAAAAGTTAAAGGATTTCATTCAATGTGAAATGCTAAATTGGTGGAAGAAGATTATTATTTGATTTAGCTAATTTTATTCATTTTCTTTAAATATAGATAATTTTATTTAATGTATTTTATTGTGTAAAGATCACATTGTAAGAGTTATAAATAGCTCAATTGTTTCATTGTAAAGATATATAGAATTTTTGGAAAATAAAAGAGAGTTTTCTCACTTTAAAGCTTATGCTTTTTATTTGCTTGTCTTTTCTATTGTGTGTGATTCCTTTAGAAAACAAGTGGGATCTCTATCTTTGTGTGCGATTCACATAGATTTTAATTCGTGTTCTTATCACAAAGTCATTCCACAACTTTGTGTGGCGAACTTCGATCCATTCAAACCGTAAGCCTTGAAACCGTGTGACCATAAGTTTGGTGTGATTCCGAGTCTTATATCATTTGGTATCAGAGCTTAAAAACTCGTATCCAAGGTTGTATCAATCCAACCTATCTCTCTTCAATTCTGTTTTTATTTTTTGTTGTTTAATTTTCATAAAATCGAAAACCAAAATAAAAATCGTT